GAATACCTAGCACTCTAGAGTTACTGATTACTTAGCAGAAATGAATTAAATGCCATAGTTAGGGAGCGGGACTTTAGTCTTAGACCGCCCGGGTAGGATAGACTAGAACGGGGACAACAAAGGGAAAGGCACCGACACACAAGTGTGTCGAGTACCATTTCCCTGTTTTACCCTAATTAGGTCGGGATAAGAACGCGGTGGGGAGGGGGGTTGGGAGACCTGCCTGAAGGGGCTTAAGCCCGACGGCTTGTCAAATCACGTTTTTTGGCCCGGCGGCCGTGGAAGCAGTAAATTCAGTTAAGGCTGGTCAAGTGGATCCAGTGGTGAATTCCGGTGAAGGTGGAAAAGCTCAGTTACACGATTTCCGGCATGAATTCAGCGCCCCAGTGACGGGGATCACACTCAGCACCCGAGTGGGACGGCTGAGCGAAACACACTCTGACATTGGTATTCAGTGAACTCAGTTCCCACGTTGAGAAGGAAGGCGATGGAACGGAAAGGTGCATGAGTCAGCAAAACCGTATTGTTGAACAAAGTTTCGACAGGTGTGCGGTGGCGAGCCTCTGTACAATTCAGCTGCGTGAGAAAGTGGGAAGGTTTGTGGGAAGTATCATGAACCACCATGGAATCAAAAAAGGAGGATTGGAACAGCTTGCTCAACCGTTGAAGCAGGTACAGGTGGATGATCAGTCCACCCATCCCTCGATACACCAGAGCTTCGTTGCGTCAGGTAGGTGTATCGAGCCTGACGCCCCTGCCTTATGGAGTAGTGGTGGTGGAAACAGTGGCATTGAACCCTTTGGTACAGGGGGTGACACACACACACACGGACACATACACCTCCCTGCCCCCCGCTTTTTTCTCTTCCGCTTTTTGTCGTTTTTTTTGGCTTTCCTTCGGGCTTTTTAGGTTGTTCTTGAGGCTCGTTTCTCTACCCCAGTCAAGGGCTAAGTATTCACTTTTTGCTACGCCTATCTTTCTCTCTTGCCCTCTTAGCGCTGCTCTTCCTGGCTTTCTTTCTTTTGCTTCTAAGGCCTTTTAGGTGCCTGTTTAGGTTTTCCGCGAAAGCGCCGCAAAGCGGCTGAGTGTGTGTGTGTGTGTGTCACACTCTGTTCCAAAGAGCTTCTATTCGATCCGTATCGCAGGGGGTGGCAGCAGGAACGAGAGTCTGCCACCAACGAAGACACTCTCGATTTCCTGGTGATACTGGGACTGATCATCCCAGCGTACCTGCCTTGATTGCAAGCTGTGACACCAATTTTCCTCTGGTTTGCTTTCATTGTCCTTGCATGATAGACCCCTAAACCTTTCTCCCACCGCTGACTTGCAGCCGCATCGCCACTGAAGTGTCGCTGAGTGAAACGATTGTTCAACCTTTCAAGTCACCTGACTGTCTCGCCATGCTGTTCCCTCACCATTTTCGACCTGGGAATTGAGTTAACTCAAACCCAATTTCAGAGTGTGTGTGCGTGTGTGTGTGTTCTAATACTGAACCCCCCCGGGTTGTGGTCGAATTGTCCTTTTTCGGGTGGTTCAAACAAAGATCTCCCTCTTCCAATACACATCCGTTTGCTTCCACCAACACTGGAGGTGGGAGAACACCTGCTCCCTCCGCACGCTCTCTCCCTCCGCGCTGGACTCGGCCGTCCCCACACGGCTCACCACCAGACGATGCTCGACTCCCTGGTCCTGGAGCAGCATCGATCTCCGACGCAAAAACGCGGGTCGACTCACAAAAACCACGTGTTTTTTGCGCCAAAACCACAGGGTCACAGGGGTCCATGTGAGTTAGAAGTGTCAATTGTCTGCACTGATGGTATCTGATGGTGTCCAAAATCAAGGGAAAGGTTTGTAGCTGTGGTCTGCCCTTTTTTAAGCTTCTTTTGGATGCCTTTTTTCGCCTTCTTTCCAGACTTGGTTGGACACGGTCAAGGGTGGGCCAGGCCATTTATGATCTGAACTGAGGGTGTTGCAGGGTGCCGGTGGATTCCCGGAGTGAATTCATGGGCGCATCGGGCTGGGCACCATGTAGGGAGCTGATCGGCAGAAAAATCCTCCACGATTGACTGATCGGCAGTTATGTTGAAGCACCATGGATGGGTCACCATCTGGACATGTGTTTTTAAAGCCAAGCCAGTGCCATGTAGTGTTTGGGGTATATCTCACGAACTGATGGAATCTGGGTTTGGACTTCGACAGAGTGAGTGAGTGGGGGTACTGACGGTTGGATTCCACATCCAAATGTAATGTAGATAACATATATATTAATATATATATATATATTGATATGTATATAGTATAACAATATGATACAATTATATAATACAACACAATATCTTTGATCTCAACACCATCACACCTCACCCATTTTGGACCACACCGACTTCGCCGAAAAAAGGCCGCTCGGCTCGAACCGGCTCCTCTTCGAGGCGGCGGATCGTCATGGCCTGGAGTTCTTCGACCACCGTTGAGATCCAGCCATCTCACTGCTGAGACGAATGAGGGAATGAGGGAAAAGGAGGGGAATGGCCTCTTCAAGGCTGTGAGATTCGTCCAGCCACCCTTCTTCCTTGCGAAGCGGACACCACCGGCCGTCATCGATCCACCGCTGCTCCAAACCGGCCGCCCGTTCGATTCTCCCCCCTGAGTCGCCCGGACCACGCGAAGGTACACGAGCTCGCGATCCTTACAGGCCTGGCACCGACGAACGGATCGGTCGGTTCAGGGCATCGGAAACCAATCGAAACCCTTCCCGTCTCGGGCATCGGTCGAGTCGAGCTTCGGCTTTTCGGACTTGGCGGACCGTGTCCAGTGACAGAGAAGTTCCGAAAGAAGCACGCACACTTCTGATCGCTTCACCTGTACCATGGCCGATGACATGATGTAGGTCTGTAAGACCAAATGTCCTATGATGAGCAATTGTTGCTTGCTGACTGTCAGTACATGAAGTGATGGCCGACCAATCAGCTCAAGAGAACTGAAGGCACTTCTACTTAGAGCTTCCACAGAGCTTCCACCGGAAGCATCCCCTGATTTCGCTGGAATCCACCGAACCAGGAAGGCACGTGCCACGCCGAACCGCCGGGTGCCCCGAAAAAAAAAAAAAAACGAACCGGACTCGGTGGCGACCTGCAAGTGTTGCAGCGTCTGCAGTTGATCCTGGCGAACAGACGAAGGAGGCCGGAGTCTCAACGAAGGGAGCCAGGGAGGAGGGCGGATTTTTTTGGGTGCTCCTGTTGGTGCTGGTTCTTGGGGTACATTGAAAGAAGCCTCCGACCATCAGCAAGTACCAGCAAAAAGACCCGCGAGGCAGTTTTGGCACCTGGAACTTCCAAGGGGTGTCCAATGGAGATCATAGGTTCTGTAGGGAAGTCCATTGGTGACCCCGACAGGAAGGTGATGGCATGCTTTTTGCATGCTTTTGGCTAGGGAGTGGACTTTTATCATCTATACATATATATATATATATATCCTCGTCGACCAAATCGAAAATATACTAAATCGACTAGGCCGGCCGAATCACAAAACCACATGATCGAGTGCTGAAAATGCTTGGGTCCCGAAAGCATCCACGGCTCAGGAAGCCCGGAAGGCACTGGTTGGTGTGGCTGAAACATGCTGAAACCATACTCGGGAGCTCTGGTTGGTGGTTACAAACCACCCTTAAAAAACTTGTTCACTCAGCGAACTGTTATGATATAGTCATCCGGTAAAGGGTGAAAAAGGATTTACCAAAAAAATATAGACGATCCTCGACCCTCAACCAGATCTGCGTGCTGTTGGTTCGAAGAGAAATTAACCCTGTCGGCAACGTCGCTAATCCCTCTGCCCCTATGCCAGGGAAACGGCTTAACGATGAAAAGGGATTCCCATATTCCAAGTTCGAGCGACTTGGAAACCCAAGTGCCCACTTGGTGAGTGTCCGTTAATCCGGCAGACCCCCGATCACCTTCCACGGGGGCACTGTCACACCCCTTGTTCCTGACCGAAGCCCCAACCATGCGCACCATCTTGCTGAGCCAGATCTTCATCTCCCGTTCCCTGGACGTGTGGGGATTCCGGCAGGTGGACGTGCATCCGGAATCGTGCTATCACGCATTGGCGAAGCCAGCACTAGCATGAACAAAACTCAGTCACTCATCTGCTCAACTTCTGCCCGAAGACAAAACCTTGAAGCTGAAGGTGGACTCCCCGTTGGCAAATGCATCGCCCATGAGCGCACCAACATGTCCCTTGACAACACAGAAAGTGGCGTTCGTACTACAACGAACATCGTTCGCACCTTGAAACGCATTTGGTGAAGTTACGTTCAATGTTTCATATGGAACATATAGAAGCAAAGATATGGCATGGTCTTAAGTCTTAAAGCCTACAAGTAATAACAACAATAACAAAACGGACAAACAAAAACAAGATGTCGGTCTGTGGGTGGGAAAAATCATCCGATGGTCCACCCCAGAGTCTCTTCGCTTCGCACATTTTTCCAGTTGCTGCCGTTGTGGGACTGTCCGCCGTTGCCGCGGGGTGGGCGCATCGGGTTCTCTTCTGCATCCATCAGCACCGCGTCGGTCTTTGGCCTTGGAGAAGTCGGAGGGAAATAAGATGAGGACCTGTGGAGATGTGAAGATGGGTCCCATAACCAAGGCTCAGTTTGGGGTGGAAAGTCCCCAAGCACGAGGCGAGACGAGAATGTTTCAGGGATGATGGAAGATCTATCAGTGGCTTCGAACACCCCACATCCATGTGCAACGTTGAGAGATTCCCTGCAACTGACTGTCCAGACTTACACAGAAGTCCATCCCAGCTTGGGTCGCATGAAGCACACGTTTGGCAACAGCTGCGACGTTTGGGATGTAATGACATCTGTCTAACAGAATAGACCGGTGACTCACCCAAACATTCCATGTCCTTTCAGATGAACCAATTTGATCCTGGAAAAGGCTCACACCTCTGCAGGGGGGGTTTTAGAGCACCGACTCCCAGTTGTTGGATTTGGTAGTCTTGGGACTTAGGATGTCTTAGGATGTCTGTGCCAATTATCCAAGTTGACCACCAGACTTCGTGGAGTAATGGCTACGTCGCCTAGCTGCTCATACCATCCTCAGGCCTTCCTTTCCGATTCTCCCACCGTCCGAGTCTGCCGTACGTCGTGCCCGAGAGATCTCGAACCGGGCGACGCTCCGGTCTCGTTCGGCGAGTTCGTCGAGGCGTGTCGTGTCTTTTTCCAAAGAGGCCTTCGTTTCTCCAAGGAGTCTCCTCAGACCTTCCACTGTGAAGAACATCCCGGTGAAGACGGACGACGCTCCCAATGGACGACGCTTCAAGCATGCGGCTCATGTGGACTGTGAAAAGAAGGTCTTGGTCTTTGTCTTCGTTCGTCACTGGGCGCTTTGTGTTCTAAGAGTCGGAAGCAAAGGCAAGTTTGAAGAAGGCGAACATCCCACAGTTCTTGTTTCGAACGATTTGCCAAGCTCACACTTCCCCCCGAAAGGTCAACCCATTTGCGCTCACGGCACAGCCCATCTCACACCTAAAGGGAAAAGAAACATGCGCGCGATCACCGCGACCAACCCAACCCTCACGGTGATCACCGCGACCCAAAAAACGCACGAAGAAAAACGCGATCAAACGTTCAACTGGGTCGGTGAAGCGTTGGCTCGTTGCGTTCCTTTTTTTCCCCCCTCGGGTCCGGGGAAACGGTGGTTGTCCTCCCCAAAGTCGCATCAGTGAATGGTGCAAGTTGCGTGGTCCTAATCCCTTATTGTTTGAGGCAAAAAGAGCCCTGTTTTACGTGTGAATGGGGTGGTGTTGTTGCTCGGGGTCCTACAACCCCATCTTCTATGTAAACCGTTTAGTGGAGAGTCCCTTCCCATGCTCAAACCACTGCTTGAAGAAGATGCAGATCTCTTGGTTTGGGCACTTGCTTTGAATTCGTCGACCCATTCCCAACAGTGCGCTTGAATCGGGCTTTCCGGGCTTTCCTTTACAGTTCTCTTCTATGCTGACTCTTTGGTGCGTAATCTTGACTTCTAGACGCCTTGGATCTGTTGGCCGTTTGTGCCATTGGGAGCTCATTCAAGCGAAACCTCAGACTCACTTGGCCCTAATCATCCGCAGCCTCGCCCGAAACATCCTTCGGGCACCCCTTAAACCTGTTAAGTTAACTTCATAACTTAATTTTACGAACTTTCATATTCTGTTCAAGACACTGCTTTCGCTCAATACAGTCACCCTCAAGTAGAAACTATATCGCAATCTAATTGCTGAGTGGCTCACCATTAGCCCAGCTGGAGACCCCAATAGACAAAGCACCTTTTCACATGATCGGCTTCGAAGCATGACAGTAGCTTGTGAGCAAGACTGGTGGCTCAACGACGTTCAACACGACCGGGACACCATCAGAACAGCCTCCATCACAGGACCGAAAAAGCCCACCCAGATCTGCCGGTGACCCAACAAGGCCCGTCCGATGAGGGGACTTGGCCCGTCCCCATCGTGCTGGGGAAAAAGGACGAGACCGAAATGGTTGTAGGATGTTGTAGGTATATTGGTCAGGTGAACGGGTGACCCGCCGTCAGCGAAGCAGGTCCCACCAAGCCTGCTTCACCTTCGCAAACGCTCTTCGGCAACGGTTTCATCTATCGGTATACAGACCTATCCTGAAGACCATTCGTTTGACCCTTCATACAAGCCAAAATGGGTGGTGGCTATCAAAGTACATCAAAAGATATCAAAAGTGGTTGTCCAACCGTTCCGATGACCGTTCGCTTCACCAACATTGTGGCACAGTATTATGGCACGTCCAGCATCAGAAATCCCATCAGAGAGACCAACTAATCCCACCCATGCCGAGAACGATGGAAAACCAACGAGTTGCATTGAACAAATCCCATGAGGATGGAGTTGCTTCAGGTTGTCCTCTCCCCCAGAAACTCTCTGAGTGTAAACCATTGAACTTGGGACCATTGCGACCCAACTCGCAAGGTTGGACCCCAGTGACTTGCAAGGCTGGACCCCAGTGAACCTCACCCATCCCAGTGACACGTGCACTGCTTAGTTGTACCATCTTCCCTCAAGAAAGCGGGAGGTAATACTCACGACAGGTGGGAAAACCACTGCCCCCAAAAGATACTTCATGACAAAGCAAAAGGAAACGAGCAACATGAGTGATGCTTTTTGAGACAGTGTGACTTCACCACATGTTCCAAACTGCGGCTTCGATTGTGGCCAAGTAAAAGTCAGGTGCTCCTGTCCAAGGTTCAGTCGAGTTTCCAACTCGAAATCGCTTCAAAACTAGGACGTTCAGTAGCCGATCTTCGACTGTCTGTGTCCAAACCAAAGCCTCCACCGTGGTCAACGGGCAAATCGTTTCGGTAGAGGCGTGGCTTCTCTGCGGTCGACCAAACGGTACACCGGTGCACCGTGGCACCCGCGGTACCGCCGACCGTACCGTGACGTACAGCATACAACTGGCGTCCGTGCACCAAGGCGGAACTTGAGTCGGGCTGTGGACATGTTGTTTTGACCCAACCTTTGGGGTTGCTGTAAGTGGGGGACTCGCTGCAGCGATGCGACGCAGCTGGTCTTGGGAAGATGGGCTTTACAGCAATCAATCGCTCACCAGCCAGCCTTGTGGCCTTATGTTTCCAGCCATGAACATGGAGAAGCTCAGTCATGTCCTTTGGTGCCTTCCGTTTTCAAGGGGGGGGCTTCGTGGGCCGAAATACGTCCCCAAAGTCTTGCCTGCCAATTGGACCCCTTGGAAGAAGGAAAACAATCCCAAAACCCCTTGGACCAGGAGATCTCTCCCTGAAAAAATGGGCCCATCGAACTGGAACTGGACAACCCTCTAAGTGAAGAGATGAACCGCCCAGACCGAGACGGACCCACAAAAGGGCGATTCACAACGAATGGACCGGGGTCACAACGTGGGTTCCCTTTTTGCGTTCTGTCCAGCTCTGGTTACAACGAAGGAAGCTGTGCTGAAATGGGCTGAAAGGAGTTGCTCTTGGTGAAAGGACAACTGCTGGCAAGCCTGAACGAACACTGCGCAGGTTGCACAGTGGAAACTGCAGTCCATGATGGCAGCCGTAAAATAAGAAGGTCAGTGCTGACTACTGGCAGCTAAGCAAGTTTCCAGAAAAATAGACAAGAAAGAGACATGTTCATCAGGGTCTGGCAATGGATTTGCGGCCTGAAATGGATTCTTTTGAACAACTCAGAAAGCCTTCAGAAGGGTCCTTACGGTCCTTCCAGCAGGTCCAGCCTTCATTTCGAGTGGACCACCTGACCATCTCCACCGCCTCTGTACCGTGAGACGGGCAGCACATCACCGAGGGAAACCGTCAGCCGTTTGGGGATCAGGGAGACATGGAGCATTCATCGCATCTCGCATCTGACAAAAAGCAGAAGCTGGTTGAAGTCGAAGTGAGAAGAAGTGCTGAATGAGGTCTGAGTTCTTGTCAGTGGTCTTTGACCTTTCAGTGGTCTTCGAGGTGGGAGAGGGAGAGAAGAAAAAAAGAAACAGAGAAACCCTGAGCAATTCCCAAGAAAAGAATCTCTGCGACCAGTTTTGGATGGAGCGGATGTCTTCGTCTGTCTTGCTTTACCGGATTCGTTCACTCCCTGTTCACCCCCCGTTCGGGAGATGGTGCCCGAATCTTCACCTCACCCACGGAAGCCTGCCCTCAGACTCTGTGGTTTGGGGTTGAACTTCATGAACCCTTTGGGGGTGGATAACCAAAATTCCTTTTGAAGCAAACAGTGCTATTTAAGGTCTAAGAGAGGTCTCCAGTTTGAGAGGCGTCACCCCCCCAGAACTGGGGCCCGATCTTGCAGGGGCTCCAAAATAGAAGATCGGCGTCTCTTCAGCTCATCTGGGGAGCGAAAGACCTGTTTCCTCTTGATACGGTTGGTGTTTTTATGCGGCCGATTGAGTCGATTTTCCAGTCCTCTACTGATGGCCGCAAAACAAGTTGCTAGCTTTCTAGTATGTCCTATGCCAATCATCTAGCTCTCAATGTGTCTATAATCCAAAAAGAGTCTACCGGATTCATCACCCCACAAGGACTAACGACTAACCACACCCCCAGAACCTCCTCTTTGCTGGATCTTGAGCTGGGGCTTTATAAATGCCAGGTGTGCAGCTGCCAGGTGGTTTAGAGGGATGTCGAATAACGCTTTCTATTTCACTTCCAGAACCTGGTAGAAGTCGGTTCCGTACCGTCTTCTTGCGAAAAAAACCCCTCTCTTGGGCATATCCGCCCATCCAAGCTCCCCTTGATCTCCGATTCTGGAGGCAACGCAACGGAGTTGCCATCTTCAAAAAGGGGGGCCCATTCTGAAGCGCACGTGCCTTGGCAGGAGAAGGCACGGGCGCCGTCTTGGGGTGGTCCGAAGCTGGGGCGGGTTCCCGTCGTCAGCCCACCAGCCAGAGATGGGAGTCCTCCACCAAGACCTGCCATTCCCTGTGGCCCATCCCTGTGGCCTCAAAATATACTGGCCGCACCCCCCAGTAGAAACACCCGGGGAGCGGATCATAGGGGGGCGGGCCGCCCTTGTGCGGCGCGAACACCGGGCGGTTTCACCCGAACACCGGGCGGTTTGGTCACCCACGGGTCACATCAACCGACTGCAACGGTGCAGGGCGGGTGTTCCGAAAGATCGAATTCGGAAGGAGGCTCTTCTTGCAAACCGGACTGGTGGGCGACTATATAGTGTTACCATGTTTTACCCCCAAAAAAGAACGGACTGGTGGGTGACTAGTTTTACCATGTTTTACCAACAAAAAGCACAGGACTGGTGGGCGACGAATTATACAGTTGCACCAAAAAAACCAAAGGAAAAGCACAGGACTGGCGACTCCAAACTCATCAAACTTCCGGTCTCTTGGAAACCCACCAGCCTCGCTCGCTCGCTCGCCGGGTCCGAGCATCTTTCGGCGCTTCGGAGGCGCCACGGTTCCCTTCGGCGTGCCGCTTCTGGTGCCCCTGGCGGTCGGAAGAGCTCGGTGGGTCTCAGAGCCGGAGTTTGGTCCGGAACCAATGTGTCTGTGTCTGTGTCTGCTCGATGGCCTCCAACCTTAGGTCTTGGCCCCAACAGCCTCAACCCAACCCGTTGGCCTTTAACCTACTATTTCCTGGTATCTCAGGCCTTATAACTAACCTAGGCCGGCGTGTGGCACCGCTGTCAAGTCAGTACGCATATTCATAAGTGTGTCTCTCCCAGTGAGAGTCCGGGATGAGCCCGCAGAGTGCCTCCCGTGGACCCGTTGAACGGGGGTTTGTCGCTGTTTCCCTTGCTTTGGAAACGTAAGTGCCCACAGCGGGCGAAGGTGGCCTAGGCCGAACGTACGATGATTTTTGTCTCATCTTTGGAATTCCAAGTTGGCTCATGCCTTTACGTGACCGTAGCGGTCAGAGGTGGCAGCCCTCGGGCAAGCCGTACGTGGTCGCAGCAACCGAAGCTTGTTCAAGGTTTATTGGAATTTGTGGAGAACTTAGCCCCCTTCTCCCCCTGCCCTCCCCCTTTCTCTCTTTGCTTTCTGGGGTTTTCCTGAATGTAATACTCAGGATCTCCCCTTTCCTTCTTTGGTGTGTCCCTGGACGATTGTTCGTAGCTGGGAACACCTTCCTTTCTCTCCTCTCCCCTTCTCTCCCTCTCTCTTTCTTTCCTTCTCTTTTTCCTCTCTTCACCCTCTTCCTTGGGCGTCCCTGGATGCTTTCGTCATAGCTGGGAGCCCTTCCTTTTTGGTCCTTGGACGCTTGCCCCGTAGCTGGGAACACCTTTGCTTCCTTCTCTCCCTCCTTCTCTTTTCCTCCCCTCCTCCCCTTTCCTCGCCCGTGGCGTATTTACAAGCAAACTAGGCTTTTGCAACAGGTTTCTCAGTGAGGTTTGGACTGTCATCGGTTTGCCCCCTTTCATTTGGTTCCCCTTTCATCCGCCCCCACAGACTTTTTTCCTTCTTTCCTTTCATGTCCTTCTGTCTTCATGTCTCTTCATCCTCATCCTTTCTTTCTCTTGCGCGCACTATCGTCCGGACCTTAGTTTGTACACATACACGCACGCGTACTCTACTTACAGCGAGGTTCAGGTGGCCCAGGTTCGTTACAATGAGGTTTGGCTCATCGGTTGTCCCTCTTCACTTGGTTCCTTTTCATCGGCAACCACACACACCTCTGTCTGTCTTGTCCTTTTCATTTTCATCTGTTTCTTTTGCGTGCACATGTGCCTACCTCCTTTCCGGGCAGGATGGAGGTCACACATGCCTCCCTTCGGGGAGGCGTGTGTGTGTGTGTAACCCTTGGAATCAAAGGGAACCTTAAGGTTTGGAACGGGCTGGAGTGTGCTTCAGATGTCTCCAGCCAACAAAGACGCATCTGTCGCACAGTGATATAGTTCTGGGACGCCAGAACTATGTACCTGTTCCACTATTTAGGAAAACAGGAGGAAATGGTACTCGACACACTTGTGTGTCGGTGCCTTTCCTTCTGTTTTCCTCTAAGGCTACTCTTCAGGTTTACAGGTAGGCCTCCAAACTTTGTAAGGGGTTCTTTAACTTGAACCTTGGCCTCTACCCACTAGATTGACCCCCAACTCGCTGTTTTGCTGTCTTGTGCTTCTTGTACTTTGTGCTTCTTGTAACCTTGTAGCACTGGCCTCCAACTTGGCACCCTGGCCTCTACCCACTAGCAAGGACCTCCAACTTTGGCTGTCTTGTGGTTTTTCTTGTGCTTTGTAACCTGGTAGCGCTGGCCCCCAACTTGGTACCCTGGCCTCCAACCTACTAGCGATGACCTCCAACTTTGCTTTCGCTGTCACTGTGTATCTATGGTCCACCGCCTACTAGCGATGGCCTCCAACCTTAGGTCTTG